GGCTCCCTCATTTTCCCTTCCATCTTAATTAATACAATCATTGGGCGAAGAAGACATAACATTAAGTATACTTAAATTATAATTGACACGGTATGATTTTATTTTAATGTAATAACAAAAACTCCAAATGCAACAGACATAAAAAATATAGAACAAATATTACATTGTAATAAAATTAATAGTACTCAAAAAATTTCTAAAATTTGAATTTATCTGCTGGCGTTGCCCAAAATAATTTTCTGGATTTTCTCATGAGAATTAAATCACATGGGAGGGATTAGAGGTGTTTTTTTTTTTTTTTTTTTTTTTTGGGTGTGGAAGTGTGTTCAAGCTTAGGTTAGTTGAAAAATGAAAACTCATTTCTAGCTCAGCTCATCATGCATATATTAAATAATAAACGTAGTTATGTTCCGAACATTACGCTGGGACAATACTACTCATTCAAAAATTTTCAACGTGTTTTAGAAACTTGTAATGTCAAATTTGACTTGAGACCTCGAAATGATATATGGAATGATAATGATATTGATTGTGACATAATTTTATCGTTTTATTTTATTAGTATTTCCTTTCAGAGTTTAATTCTTATCAAAGATAAAAAATTAGCATAGAATAATTTTTTTTAGACATTAATGTACAAATATTTAGAGATATGTAGACTAGTTGGATATATCTACATTCTCTAGGTGCATGGGCCATACTTGAACTTTGGATCAATGTCCTTAGAACCAAGGAATATTTCCGTGAGTTTCAACAGAAACACCGAAAAATTCTAATTCAGTAAACCATTATACCCACGACCTAGTTGTCCTCCTGGAGGAATATGTGCATCTAAAATATCTTTCATATTGTGTCCAATCTCGAAATTGTTTCTATACATGTGACCAGCAACAAGAAAAAAAAAATATAATATATAACTTATAACTAAGTGATGGTATGCAATATCTGTTGGCCATAAACTTTGCCCGACACTCTAGACAAGAATGGTGGGAACCTTTTGGGACACTCTAGAGAACAGTGGTGGGAACTTTGCTCGCATAAGTTTAGCTCACTGGTTCAGTATGCAGTATTCGAGTGAAGAGATCAAGGTTCAAACCTCGATAACCACAGTGTGGGGTTATGCCCGAATTGAACAAATAATTTTTTGTGCGCTCTATTAAATCCGAATTGGAGATTCAACCTTTTGGGAAAAGAATGGTGGGAACACTTAAGATTGGGGTGCAATCATTTTTTTTAAAAAAAGGTATTAATGTTGCATATTTGACCTAACCAATAATTGGGTGTTAATTGAGACACGAATACCCGATTAGTTTGAGTTAATTCATGTATTAGGTCAATAAGATATAGAAGATGAAACCATATATCTTTAATGGGTTAATACCTAAAATCGTACTCGACTATAGTGATTTTTCTCAATTTCGTCCTAAACGACTTTGGTGACCTAATATCGTCCCAGACTTTTGTGTTTCGCTCAATTTAGTCCTCCATTTGTTATTCCGTCAAATTGGTGTTAAATAAAGGGACAATTCAGTAATGTCAATATTGATCTCTCTTTACTTTCAACTTGTGAAGTGCGAAATTCCTCTTTCTTGTATGAATTACACCCAGAATTACTCTCGGACCTGCAAATCAAATTTTATATTCGCAATTTTAGGAGTAATTCGTAAAAAAAAAAAAGGATTTCGCATTTTACATGTCTATGAGTAAAGATATGCCAATATTAAAATTACTGAATTGTCTATTTATTTAACACCAAATAGACAGAATAACAAATGAGAGACTAAATTGAGCAAAAACACAAAAGTCGGGACTAAATTGAGCGAAACACAAAAGTCTGGACGATATTAGGTCACCAAAGTCGTTTAGGACGAAATTGAGAAAAACCACTATAATCGAGGACGATTTTGGGTATTAACTCTATCTTTAATTTATTCAACCCCAGAAAGCAACCTCTATAGGTTTGGTTGGGCACTTAACTTGCACACATCTTTGTCACAAACCTTCTCCCAAAAGGTTGAACCCTCAATCCCAGTGATCTCTCACATCTCGGCCTTAGCACTTGTGAGAATGTAATTCACGGTGGTACAATGGCTCAGGGCTAAATGTCGGAGCGCACAAGGATCTGTCCACTTTGAACATAATCCACACACCTGTGCGGGCATCTTTGTCAGAGACCTGATACAAGAGTGTTATGTGATGGTTTTTTTGTAGAGAATTAATGCTACCTTAAATGCTAAGATAGTGAAGTTGTGTTTGTGGGGTAAGGGTAGGACGTTAGGTGTCGAAAGTTGAAACTTTGGGGAAGCAGTTAGAGGTGGTGATCACCTATTTGTATCAGCTTCATAAATACAGAAACTAATTCTTGCATTAACTTATTGTAGGTCCATGAGTGCATGTTTGAGCCAACAGCAATCCCAATTGAGGTAAAAAGGATAAGGTGCAGTGGGTACGTGGTATTCAGATCCAGGCCACCATATATGGCTAGCTGATCAAGACCACCATGGCTGAAATTGTCTTTTCAGTGAATTTTCAGTGTACGAATACTTTGGAACTCAAGACGCACAGTTGAGAATTGAGACTTATCTTTCAATTTATCTATTCACTAAGACTTTAAGGTAGGGACATGTCAGTGCAATTCTTGAATTACAAGGAGGTTAAGTTATAATTTCTTGATCGCAGTTTATGGGTTGTGAGTTTAAGTCGTTATGAGATGGAAAAAGTGTCAAGGTAATCATCTAAGTTTAAAGAATAGTACAATTAAGCTTCCTAATTGAAAAATTATACATGTAGGATCATGTAAGCATCAAAACACAACATGTTAGCAGTGATATAGTGAACATGTAATATTAGAGCATCCCAACCGAAGTTTTTCTTCGCTTGGTGCACGGGTGCGTTAATAATATTGTTCTTCTCTAATAGTCTTTTTTTCCCCTCATCTTTTTCTCTCTCATTTCCCTCCTATGTCCTGCAAAAATTAAGAAAAAGTCACACTAAGAGCTTAATTGTACTATTTTATCGATTTAGGAAACCTTATGACAACTTTTTTTTTTTCTATTAAACTAATTGCACTAATCCTTATACTTGGAAGTTAGTTTGTCTTATTCTTTTGGGAAAAGGGTCAAATAAGCCCTCAAACATTTGTTAAAATTCAATTATCTCTTTTAACTTTTTAAAGGTGCAATTACAGGGGAAAAAAGACTGAAATATGAACATTAGCCTTCTTATTTCCCAAAATATGACGGTGCTTTGTGGTGAACAATTTTGTGAAAAAAACCTTTGGGACATGCGTCCTCATACGCAAGTCTTATTTGCAGCTGAAGTATTTATACATCAACCGCATTTACGAAATGCGGCTGACGTATTCTTCCAGTACACATGAAAACGCATGTAAGAGATGCGTTTGGCGTATTATATGTCAAACGCATCTCGTACATGCGTTTTAGTTACCGTTTCCTCGCCGGAGACCGGCGGGGGTAAACGCGTGTGGAAGATGCGTTTCATCTGAGGGCATACGTCTTGTAGCAACCCAATCACCATTAGAGGGCATACGTCTTCACCATCCACGACTATCCCTCCGTGAGTCCGTGATATCTGGGGCAGTTAAAGCCTCTCGACCGATCCACCAGTCAACGGGATCGGATCATGATCGAAGCTCCCTGGTCACAGCGCCTGGTCTAACTTCCCCGAGCATAGAGCATCATACCAAGTTTCACACAGCCTTGAGAGTTATACTCGAGGCTGAGAGCAGATTTCCAAAAACTTTCAAGCTAGGAAGTTCATAGATTTCATTCCTAAATTGCAAATTGTATTAGTTATAACCAGATGTATTAGAATTAGCTGTAGACTTTCAATTTATAAGGTGCATAAACTTTAATGGAGCCTTACATCGACCGTTCAGTTCCCTATGGATGCACGAGCATAGCGAGGACTGGAGCAGTTAGACGGAGTTGATCGAATGCATGGCTGAATGTGTCATCACAACCGAGCACCAAGGCAATTCTCGACCATAGATGACGTGATCTCAGTTCCCGACCAAGTTGTTTTAGCTTCTCAATATTTCCCCAGTGGCATCACGATCGTCAACGACTAATCTTCACCTCTTGTTATTTTCCTCGACCTCCCCGGATAATCACCACAGCCATGCATTCGATCAACTCCATCTAATGGTGATTGGGTTGCTACAAGACGTATGCCCTCAGATGAAACGCATCTTCCACATGCATTTACCCCCGCCGGTCTCCGGCGAGGAAACGGTAACTAAAACCCATGTACGAGATGCGTTTGACGTATAATACGCCAAACGCATCTCTTACATGCGTTTTCATGTGTACTGGAAGAATACTTCAACCGCATTTCGTAAATGCGGTTGACGTATAAATACTTCAGCCGTGAATAAGACTTGCGTCTGAGGACGAGTTTTAAAAAAATAAAATTAAATGTGTGGGACATGCCTAAAACGCATGTCACCAATGTTCATATTTCAGTCTTTTCCGCGCAATTACACCCATAAACAATGCATTTTGATGCAATGAAGCCCAAATACATGTAAATGACCTGCTATCATAGGTCATTGAAGATCCGACTATTTTCTTGCGTATTTTCAGGCAAAAAAGTGACCGGCGACCTTCGACGGTCGCCGGTCACTTTTTTGCCTGAAAATACGTCAGAAAATGTCCGGATTTTCAATGACCTATGATAGCAGGTCATTTACCTGTATTTGGCTTGTTGCATCAAACTGCATTGTTTATGGGTGTAATTACACCTTTAAAAAGTTGGAGGGGCTAATGGACTCTTTAACAAATGTTTGATGGCCTATTTGAGCCTTTTCCTTTTTTTTTTTTTTTTTTTTTTCTCTGAAACAAGAAGTAAAAAATTGACATTGATGATTCTAAATTCAAAAAGATAATATTGTGTTTTTTGTCTTACTTTCCAAGCACTTCTCTGATTAATTTACAGGATTCAGAAACTGGTACACAAAATCAAAATCAAAAGGACCAAAAAAAAACAAAAAGTAAGAGAAATTATTGAGAAACCAATCAACAAAACAGCTACCGGAATGGAGACAAAGGATTAGGACTAGTCGAAGGTTTAGAGTTCCTAAGTTCTTTACACACATGATCTAACATCCCCAAGAAATCTCTCACAATCACAAAAATCCTCAGCGGGTTTGGTTCATCTTTGCTCACATCTCCATGGAAATACTCTGTAATCTCTCTCACCCGCAACAGGACTCCATTCTCATCCTCCCGCAACTCCTTCAAAGCCCTCTCCGCTCCGCTCAAGAACGATCCCATCGAGGACACAAACCCACCTGCAATTTCGAACAGTATGATTACCATAACTGAATGTGCTATATAATAAAATCATTTATATTAGGCACAAAGTCTGATTGAATAACAACTTCTAATTAAATCTACCTGCAATTTCATCTGCTAAGTCTTTAAGCACGAGGCTTCGTATGCTTGTGATCCCAGCAGAGAGGTTCGAGACCGAGTTAGCCAACACGTCCAAGTCTATGGTGGCGGTTTTCTTCACGTTACAGAGCTCGGTGCTTAGACCCGAGACGAGATCTAAGCCCATTCTCCTGTAGTCTTCCTCTCTGCTGTCGTGTTTAATGTTTTTGGATTTGGTTCTTTGCTCGATCTTTCCCATTATGCTCTCGGAGACTTTGAGCCCTTCGGATCGCACGATTTCTTGGACCACGAAATGGAGCAGTGTGGTTTTGCCGTCGGTTCCCTTCACGTCTGCGAGCTTTAGGAGGGCATCGAGCTTGAACGCCCTGGCTCCTCCTCGGATTGTTCCCACGTTCATTCTGTTTCCGGTTTTTAGTACGGCTTCTAGTAGCTTTAGGAACAGACGACTCGATCTCAGCTCCTTGCAGGCATCCTTAAATGAATTCAAAACAAGTTTAATTAGCTGTGAGTGAAGAGCAAAGGTTAAATTTATGATATCTGTTATGTTCCAAGTCATGTATGTAGCTTAGTTCGTTAGTGACTTGGAATATAACAGATCGTGTTTGACATGCTGGGACTTTTATTAATAGTGGAGTACTCATCCTTATTCTTTAACATGGTTGGGCGGAGGACGATGAAGGACTAAGTTTAACATTAGGTGACTAGGAGATTATTGAATGGAGACATGAAAAGTCAAGTCGGGCCCTAAGTGACTAGAGGATTGTTGGGCAGAGGCCTGGAGAGAAAAGTTCAGATAACTAGAAGATTGTTGGGTGGAGGCCTGAAGGGCTAAGTCCGCACTAGATGGCTAGAGGATTGTTCTGTGGAGGCCTGAAGAGCCAAGTCCGACTAAGAGATTGTTAGACAGAGACTTGAAAAGTCGAGTCCAATGCTAAGTGACTAGGGAATTGTTGGATGGAAGCCTAAAGGGCAAAGTCTAGCCCCATATAGCTAGGGAATTGTTGGGTGGAGGCCTGAAGGGTCAAGTTCGCACTAGATAGTTAGGGGATTGTTGGACGAAGGCCTGAAGGGTCAAATCCAACATCAGATGGCTAGGGAATTGTTGGGCGAAGGTCTGAAAGGCAAAATCCAATACCAGATGGCTAAGGGATTGTTGGGTGGAAGTTTGAAGACCCCATCTCTCGAAAATGTGATGATATAAAGAAATAAAATCGTGACTTCGCTATGGACTATAACTTTTGATGTAGTGATAAACGTTTGATCCTAACATGCTATGACCAATTAACTATGGTTTTGTGTTACCTCTAGCATTGAAAAAGATTTTCTGAGATGAAGAACTTCATCACTGAATGTTTCTTGGTAAAGCATGGCTTCAACTCTTTGGAAAGCAAATGGCACCTTTAATATTGCTTTAACAAACTTCTCTGCTGAGCCCAATTCATTTATGTCTCCCTTATAGTTTGCCAGTTTGGCCTCTTCTTCCTTATTTGGCACCATTTTTGCCAGTGCCTCCAATTCTCGCAATGACAACCCTTTTCCTGTTTTCACAACATTCATAATCAACCCAACTCTGCATTATATTTTCCCCTTCTCTAATCTATAATCATATATTATATATATCAAATTTGATGTTACCTTTTGTTAGTGCTTCACAAACTTGGTTTGCACTCACATTCAAAGCTTTAGAGAGTATGGTTATGTTCTGTAATCTCTTAGGCTCGAGCACATGTTTAGTTGGAGATGGGGATTTGCTTTTGGCCTCATCATTCATTGAGTTTTGCAGGTTGTAGCCAAAAAGGGACTCGATCATCTCCTCGTCGAATCTGCTTCAGATCATAATATATAATCAGTGTATACAAAATTACAAATGTCTCGGCCTAATTGAGAAATGAAGAAAAGAATCTTACTCGAATGAACTTGGCTTCAGCTGGTCCCATACGGTTGAACGATTCGGTGCAGCTCTTACTTTGTCCCAGTGCAGCGGTTTCAGTCTTGGCAGTGGACTTCCATCTTTGCCTGCCAGTGGTGGTGGAGGTGGTGGAGATGGTGGAGGAGGTGGACCTTTCGCAAAGGGCGGCGGGAGGCAGGGTGGTGGTGGTGGTGGTGGTGGCGGTGGCACAGAAGTGGATGGACAATTTGGTTGTGAATTCAAGACTGGAAAGGATAGTTTTGAGTCATCTTGGGAGGTTTCCTCAGTGAGACTACTAGCTGAAGCATTAGATAGCCTAATGCTACCTGGATTGCATATAGAATGGAAGGAATCATCATCATCATCATCATCTAATGATGAATGGGGTTCATCAAAAACAATAATTTCTCCAGGTTTGTGGACTTGTGGGTCTGTTTCTTCTTTCTCTTTTGGTGTGATGATTTGGGTTGAGAGTGAGGTTTCAGTTTCTGGGAAAACTGGGTCTGGGCATGGATTTTCCAAACCAACTGCTATTGAATCAAGGTAAAAAAGGTCAGGTTTCACTGAACTCTTCTGCTGGGAGCTCAAATATTTTGATCTGCAGTATATTGTTCTCACTGTTTTCTTCCTTTTGTTCTGAAATCTTCTGCATCCCCACAACAGACACACACCACATAATGAGAATGTCACTCCTGCCGACACGAGAACCGCTGTCAGAACTCTTCTGAAACTCCCTCCCCCCTCCTTCTTCTGCTTAGCCTTGTGTGCTTGTGGGAGTGAAGGGTGGTGGTGGTGATGAGAATAACGGTGGACCGCTCGTCTCGGAGAAGGAGCAGGCGCTTCTCCGCCTTCAATCCCGGGAGCGGGAGAAGGCGATGGCAATGGCGAGGGCAAGGGAGACGAGTAAACAGTAGAATCAGCAGCAGCAGCAACAGCAACAACAACATCGTTTCGTTTTCCAAGTAAAGCTCTCAGCTTTTCAAGAACGACGACTCTTCTGTTACCATTCTCGTTTTCATCAAAACCGTGCACAAGAAAGAATGTGATGATGACGACGATGAAGAAAGCCATGGGAATTATCCGAGAGCCATGACCCCCCATAATGTTCCTGCACAACTCAAAATCTTTCGAGAAATCATCCGGATTTCTGCAACATTATTTGTTGTATATTTTTATCCTGTGCTTTAAAACACCAAATGTTTGGTTTGGATGGTTAGAGTGAAAATACAGTAGAAGATGCAAAATTGGGATAGTCTTTATTGCTACTCCAAGGAACCCCTGGCCCTTCCTTTTGTCCTATATACTTTCATTGCCCCCTTTTACCTGCTCTCTCCCCCATTACTCTTAATACCATTGCATTATATACCCACCTTCTATAAACCTATCATTCCTCTTTTACATAAAACATAACTCCATTCAAGATTGCTCCACCTAATACTAGACTTAACATGTTTTAATTTTGTTTTTATCTCTTCTGATTCTAATAATAAGATTTTTTTTTTTTTCTGATACCCATTTTGTATTTATAGGTGATAAAGTTGTTTCATTAACATTTTTGACAAATGTCTCTATGACTAGCCTTTTTGTTTCCCTATGAAAGGCTAACATAATGCTTAGCATAGGGTTGGTATTGAGTGTGATAGGGTGCTTTTAGGGCTGAAATTTTGATTATGATTGTTAAAATGAGAGTGATGAGTGCTACATTTTGATGAAGATTTTGTGGCCATCCAAAAGTCATGGTTCAATCTCAAAGTGTATCCCTTTGGAGGGTCCCAATTGGTTGGACTTGCCTTGCATCTTAGGGGGGGAGAGTGACATTTCAACCCTACATTATGAGAAACAAGAAAGGGAACAGAAACTGTCCATTTCTCCCCCCATGTGAGCTTCCCAAACGCAGATCAGATCCAATTACAATATACATCCATCTACATTACATTCCTATGCAACATGCTTTGAATTGGATCTTTCTTGATGTTGAATTAGCTACTAGCCAAATATTATTAAACCACAAGTTAACCTAGCAGCTTGGGTACTTCGTGCATGTACGAGCTTAACTCAATGGTTTAGTAGGCAGTATTTGAGAGAAGAGAGTAATGTTCGAATCTCGGTGACAGCAGTGTAGGAATCATGCCCAAAGTAGACAAATTTCTTGTGTGCACCGGTATTTGGCCTTGTCTACTGAGCCATTGAGTCACCGTGATTTACATCCTCCCAAATGCTCTGTCAAGCCGGGGTGTGAGGGCCCTTGGGGTTGAGGATTCAACCTTTGGGGTTTAGTTTTTGTACTTCGTAAATGAACTACTAATTAATTCAAGACAAATTATACTATCAACTGTGGATCATGGATAAATGTTCACTTTTTGTATACTGAATGTTCATTTTTAGATAGTATACCAAATAATGAACTTTCAGTACACACACAAAGAGCATTCAATGTATTAAAAATAAACTTCAATATACTAAAAACGAACATTATATCAGTGGTTTACTTTATAAAGTGAACTAACTATATGGTCTATGGTATAATGATTGTTAATTCAATCATAAGGTTAGAGGTTCGACAGTTTTGGGCTAAATAATAAGATAGAATAGCCAAACACTTTGTGCTCAAATGGTATGTAGTGACCTCTCCATTATGGAAGGTCATGAGATTGATGCTCAGTGGAGGCGTTTAATCTAAAGATAGATATTCAATATACAGAGTACTTTAAATTAAGTATTCAAAATTGTAATATTTGAATGCATGGACAAAATATTTATAGCGACTCATTATGGAGGGAACCACACATCCCATTTGTTTAGAGCCCTCTATGCAGCAACACTGTCAGGATATTAAATTTAATTTATTGTAAGAAATTAAGAATGTATAGAAATTGTTGTTGCTTCATCCCTCCATTTAATGTTTACTTAAAATATTAAAGATGTTGCTAGCTAGATACTCTATAATTCCCACTCGGCCACTCCCTAACATGTTACAGAGTTTTTTTTTTTTTTTTTTTTTTTTTTGGATAAATTCTTTATCAGTAATTTATGAAAATAAATAGTTTTTATTTTAAATTCGAAAGTGACTAACAAAGAGTAATAATTGTTGACATAAGATGCATTTTCGTTTAAAAAAAAATAGTTGAAAGGGAAAGTTAATCTAGATTCTAGACTTTAAAATACATAAAAGGGAAAATGGCACTTTTTACCCCTGAGTTATATACTTATAGCACTTTTTCCCCCTCAATTATTTAGGTAAGCACATTAGCCCCCTCAATTATTCTAAAAGTGGTGCCTTTTCCCCTTAATATATTAAATTGACATTTATACCCTTAAAGTAAACATTTTATTTATTTTATTACTCCAACAAATTATTGCGTATACGTAGGCAGGACCACGGTTCGGTTTGAATTGAACCGAATACTAAAGCAATCGAATTAATAGTTTACGGTTATAATTCAGATCTAGAACCCAATGTTTAAATATCAATTTATTAAAATTATGTATCAAAAAAATTGAATCTTGAACCGTGAACCGGCGGTTCCGGATCTGATTCGCGATTTTGAACCGTCTTTATTTTAAAATTTTATTTTTTATTTTAAAATAGTCTAAATTCAACAATAAATGTATTTTATTTTTTCAGTTCGGAACATGAACCATCCGTTCTGGTTCACGATTTTAATAAACTCTTAAATATCGAATTTTGATTCTAAATTGTAATTGGAATATTTCGGTTTGGTTGCTATGGTGTTTGTTTAGTTTGAACCAAATTATGGTCATAATTTGTTGGAAAAAAAAAATAAATTTAATATTTAATTTAAGGGTAAATATGTCCATTTAACATTTCAGGGGGAAAAACAGCCATTTCAATAATTTAGGGGAAAAAAATGCTATAGGTATATAACTCAGGGGGAAAAAGTGCCATTTTCCCTACATAAAAAGATTATATACATACTTTCAAGAGTAAAAACATTTCCCCATTTTGGTGTATTGTAATGTGTTGACTGTCAAATTAAGTGATTTTTAAAAATATATAGTTGACTTATATATCTTGATGTGGTACATTACAGAATGTTTTTACTCTTAGTATTATCTAATAAATAATGTTGAGCAGCCTAGCTATTTGCTTTCTTGATTTAGACTGGTTAGCTATGAAAAATTTAAATCGATTTAACTCTTTATTGTCTTTTATCAGCTAAGATCACAAGGAAAAATTTATCTAATGAACACCATTAAATAGTGATCACAGATTTTCCTCGTCATCAAAAAAAATGTTAAATTAATTTTGTAAATATTCATGACCGGAAGTCTTTCTCAAAGACAAGGTACAGTCCATAAATGTGGGTTATTGTTGTTGTTTTTAGGTTTGCCTTTGCAATTTGCATGACATATAAAGTAAGATGGAATTAAATAATGAAAAAATTACAACTACTATTAATTTGAAAAATGTTTTTTTTTTTTTATGAAAGAGAAAAATATATAACCACTATTTAGGAATATATACAGGTAAATTATATTCTTATATAATAGTCAGTAAACTATATATGTAAATCGCACTAAGAAGATTCTATATGATGAGTTCGACCTAGAAAAAAAATGTAATAGAATTTTTATAAATAACTCAAAGTTTAAAGTGCAACTAATAACATATAGACTGTAATTATTAACACTATAGACTACATGGGAACAAATCTAAAAAACACATATGTTAGAAAAAGTTGTGGTATCTTTATAAATATTCAAATTTTAAAGTGCAATTTTGAACATGGCAGAGTGCATATGTTCATTGCATTTATAGTTTATAGATATGCGGGATTGAATTCAATGGTATTGTTAGTTGTACTATATAGTGTTGTTAATTACACTATAAATGTTGAGTTATTTACTAAAATGTCATTGCATAGCTTTCCCTCTTTCATTGCTTTAAAGCATTAGATTTTCCCATAGCAATCACTACTACAGAAAACGGATTTAACGTCTACATTATAACGTCGGTTTTTTGAAAATCCGACGTTAAATATTTAAAATTATTTTTTATTTTTTAAAAAAATACATATGACGTCGGTTATTTGGTATGGCCGATGCCGTATATTAAATAAAAAATAAATAAAAAATAAATACGAGATACGACGTCGGCGTTATACGTTGTCGACGCCGTATCTCAAATAAAATATATATATATATATATATATATATATATATATATATATATATATATATATATATATATATATGGTATACGGCGTCGGCGACGTATATCGCCGACGCCGTATACTCGAATTAAAAAAAAAAAATAATAAATAGTAGATACGGCGTCGGAGAATTAATCTCCGACACCGTATCTCTAATAATTAAAAAAAATAAAATAAAAATGGTATACGGCGTCGGCGACATATAACGCCGACGCCGTATACTCAAATTAAAAATAATAATAATAATAAATAGGAGATACGACGTCGGAGTTAAATCTCTGACGCCGTATCGAATAATTAAAAAAAAAAATTAAAATGGTATACGGCGTCGGCGACGTATATCGCCGACGCCGTATACTCGAATTTTTTTAAAAAAATAAAAAATAAATAGTAGATACGGCGTCGGAGAATTAATCTCCGACGCCGTATACTTAAATTTAAAAAAAAAAAATAATGAAGCTAGCTAGAACTTTTCAGATCAGCGCCCAAACATTTCACACTCAACATTTCACTCCTCACTCATCTGCTCCAAACGCCCTACGCCACCGCCGCCGAACGCCCTACGCCACCGATGCTCTCCACCGCCGCCTAAGCCGTCGTCCACTGCCTCGCTCACCGCACGTCGACGTTGTCCTCAGCCTCGCTCGCAACAGTGCCGTCGTCTTCGGCCTCGGCCTCGCTCGCCGTCGCCCAACGTCATCGCCGCTCGCCGCCTCTCCTGCAAGGTACGTACGTGTATATATATATATATATATATATATATATATATATATATATATATTATAAATTAAAAATGGTTATGTATATATATTTTTTGAATTTTGAATTTTATATATTATTATTGTGTATATTTTCGAAATTTTAGGAATAACTGTGTATATATATTTAATTTTATAAGTTAGTGGGTCAATTATGAATTGTTGTGTGTATATGTGGAATTTTATGAAATTTTGTTTATATATTATTGTGTATATCTTGAAATTTTAGGAATAATTGTGTATGAACATTAAGGAATAAGGTTTAGTTTATAGATATATAGAACAAATATTATGAATATAATACATAATTTAAGTGAACAAATCTTAGCTTGCTAGGTGAATCTTGGTCCATAATTTGCCTTTTTCAAGTAT